AAAGTATTTTGTTTCAATGTGTGGACTTCCACTAAATTGTATACACTTTCCAGTACTGTTCAAACCATTAAAACCTATTTTGCCCTGCATCTACAAATATGGCTCATCCCACCAGTCAAATTACATGTACTTCTACATTTCACTTTTTTTCTGTAGGTACTAAAAGGTCTACATGCTGTGGATAAGCTCTCCAATCTCAATATGGCTAATATTCGTCTGTCTGGAGCCAGTACTCCAGGAAGCGTGTTCTCAGCTCGCAGCGGTGGGAGGAACAGTACGACTGTAGTGAAACAACATTGTGCAAAACTACTTAAGTCCTTAGACGCTGGATCTACACAGAAATGAGTCCAGTTTCAATCAATTGCTGACATGATACATTACAATTACAATTCCTGAGTGGTTTACTGACTATATCTGCATGTTATTTAAGTGCTCGCATGTAATGCATACACTGTTACAAAAGTCTGATGTCAACAAAATAGGATGCATGTTTTTTAAATAATGTAAACTCTAATTATGCGAGTGATAGATTTTAGCAAATTCCAGGAAAAGCACAAATATCACTGGGACCATTTAACATGCATTTAGTGATATCATGACATTTATTCCCCTCAAACACCCTTATATCATGTTCCCAGCACTGCTTTATAAGGTTCATTCCATCCAACTGTATAAATACATGTAATCTACATCCAAATACACTCATAAACAGTGGATGATAGTCAGTTTTTCTTGCCAGTTTGCAGTGTTGATGACAAAATATACATGTCCAATATACATTGTTTACATATCTTCTGCTGTGGTTGGTCACACAAGTTTCATCATTTTGTGAATTTTAAAACATCAAGGAGATAGGGACATGCAATTATGGTAACAAGCAATAAAGATTTCGTGATTGAGAACTCGAAACATTTCTAGAAATGAGCGAATCTGTGAAGGAAATGGTTTATTGTTCTCCTCATCATTGCATTTGTTTTCATGCATATGATAACAACCACTATCTTTTCTGTCTCCAAAATCAAATTCTTCCATGGTTAGCAACTAGCATACATGGCATTCTGTTTATACTACTGGTCAGAGAAAACTTGATAGCTGCAGGTATGAAACGTGCACAGAATAACACAAAGTATGCACAAAAGCACTACAGTGATTATATCCACTGATGCATAGCAAAGGTATATGTGATCTAGTAATGCCTTTTTTAACACTGACAGTATTTTGGTGATAACAAATCATTATTGGGCATATATATCTTTTCCTACTTGTAATGTTGAGAGATGTACTCATTTGAATGTATTTGTGCCTCCTTAGGCGATTCTAATTTAGGAATGCACTCGATGTGAAGAGTTTGAATATGACACACATTTTCTAAATAAGAAAGACCCTCAAACTCGCTGCCAGATATATAATAATAATTTCTATACCTATCTGACATATTACACTTAAGACTAGTGTACATACTGTATGAAATTAGAGGTTGACGATTCGAACTCTTGATTTGTTTAAAAACAAATTCCATACAGGGACATTGTGAAAAATAATTGCACTGTTATCACCCCCCCCCCCAATAATTTTAAATGTTTGACCCCTTAGTTCGACCGTACTATATACTATACTGCCAATTTTACTGGTACATTTAAACTCAACTAACGTATGTAGAATAACAATCTTTTATCACCAGATGTTATGAATATAGATTTTAATGATATTTATGTGACAATTCCATCCATTATAGACTGGTATTATGTAAACCAGTTGGGTATTGCTATGCAGTGTTTTCTATATTAAGTGATTGATATCTGATTTCTCTTTGTATATTTTGTAAATTGCAATTGCTTCTGGTGATGAAATAAAATTTGTGTAATAAAACTGACTTTGATTATGTTGCATACAGTTAACACACAGAGTGTCCAAGGTTTACT